GCCGCCTATCAGCCGTGTAAGCAGGGAAACCAGGCAGACTGGGCAGAAGATCCGGACGGCTACCCATCACGTGACCGTGTCGCTCGCTGTTTGTGTGGAATAGCGTGACATTGATCCAGGCTATTCAGGGGGTAAAGTCTGAGCCGAGCATATTCTGGGTAGCCAGCCAGCCCAGGCTCGAGGCGGCAAGATAAGCTCAAAGTTCGTCTTGTCAAATATAACTCGTACATCAAGATCGATTATCTTTTGATCGCTTTGGAACGGTTCGAATGATACTAGTTATGCTGGAAAGCAATGCCTCCTCGTTTGTTTTTCCTGGACGAAAGCATCGGGATGATAAACTCAACGGTACCTGATGACATGTTTTGCCCGCTCACCTCCTGACATTTCGTTGTCTCCGCTCCGAGGGTTGAAGAAGTACTTCAGTAAGTATAGCGGACGATAGCAGACACTCACCGGCTGAGAACGCCGCACGAGCGCGCACTGCCGGGTCCATCAAACGGAGCCCTGTTGTGCAGTCTCAAAGCTGGGACTTTGACCGGCGACGCTCACCGGTCAGTGTGCGTACCGAGTTGGCAATTGTATATGGCGATGAAGGCATTGGCATGAGCTGCATTTGCCGCTGGCGGGAACGCCCTGCTGAAGCCGGCGATGGCCGTGATGCTGCCGAACTGGAGGAGGCCTGGTGGAGCGGCAGACCTTCTTCGGTGACGACCACGCACCATTGCGGGCGCACTGACCAGTTCATCCACGAGAAACGCCGGATATCTGGCTCCGTGCCACTTCTGCCTGTTGCCTCGAAGATGCCAGGAGTATCTCCGAGGAAGCAGGCTCTCCTCTGAAGAGGAATTGGAGAGCACTCTAGCGGTTTGGCTTTGATCACTACAGGCCGATTTTTGTCGTGACGGTTACGTCAAAGTGCCTCTGTGATGACAAACATGCCTGTACCGTCTTAGGGACTGCGCTGATTAAGAAATATCAGGTAAAAACAAAATCCTAAAATGTACGTTTCCGTGTTGGCGTCGTGCTCACGCACCGAGCGGTCTGAAAATTCAAAGACCGTTCAAGGTACTCTTTTCCGGCATTTGACGTAATGGCGGCGTTTTTCAGTACGAGCTGGCGTTATCTTGTTGCTGAGGAGACCGTTTTATTATACGGTTGGGCACTGGGCAATCACACGACAGAACAAGGGCAGAAACGATGATTGGGAGGATGCCAAATATCAGGACCTGGATAATGACGGCAGCGGAACAGGTCGCTGGAACTAACGACACATTTTACGATAGCTTAGGCAAGTCGGTATCCCAAGACAGAAAACCGTCAAAAAACACTCGAGACGATCTTTTCACCTGTGCCTGAAAAATATTAGTGCCACAACAAATGACCGGCAAAGCCAGAAAATGTTCAATGTTTTCGCGAGTTTCAAAAACAATCAATTAGCTTCGTCTTCTCAGATAAGCTCCTAGAACATCGCATTTGAGCCAGGGACCAGAAGTTGGCCATCATCGGAGCATTACAGTACACAGGCGCCACAGGCGCGCATACTGCGATCGTTAGCAAAGCTGCTGAAATGCGTAGCGCGCGGCTGAGGAATGCCACAGATCATGCGAATAACCTTATGGGGCTGAAGTAGCAAGTACCTGATGTGTTTCAGCTTTCCAAAGTTGCGACTCACGATGAACGCGTCTAAAAGTGAGCCAATGAAGCACGCTGGCGCAGTTACAGCCACACAGTTGAACAACGTTACAGTCACGGAGGTGAACAACAGATGGGGCGCGAGTCAAACCTGTCCAACAGCTGACAGTCCACATCGGCGGTGATAAGTATGGCGCAGTTCGGGGAGTTTACGACATGCCGATGCCTGGTTTAGAGGTTTTCGAAATATGTGCTGAGGCAGCAGCCATGTAACGAGGCACACGGTATACGGCGCCAACTACAACAGCCTTCCGGCCCCGCTACAAAACAGACCAGAGGGAAACAAGCTGGGCCGTCGGATCAGTAGAACGTGTTGTTTTGATCCTCTTGGCACTGAAGCTGTCACCATAGAGCGTAAGCACTCAGTCGCGTCTTATCAAAGCGAATGTGCAGTCGGATTTATGAAGGGCTTAGTCAGGGAAATCAGCAGCCGGCTAAAAGCGGTGGGCTTGAGCCAGGCCTCCTAATTGCCATGCTGTCATAGTTAAACAGGTTGAGTTCACGACGTAGTTTCGCGGCCTTCGGCTCTGGTGATTGGACGCTAAAAGAACAGGTTGTAAAGCTCCCATCCGTCGCATCATCTCGCCACAGCTATCCCCCCCCGCCAGCCCCTCCCTCCTCCCCCCCCGCCAGCCCCTCCCTCCTCCCCCCCCCCCGCTGTCGGTGCCGGGGACGCCAACCAAGGTGTGGTTCTCCAGCGCTCGCTCCTCGCTGGCGAAAGAACCTTTATCAGCCTTTAATGCCCATAAACTTTATATTCAAGAGTTAAAAACCTTGAGCCTCTAATAGACCAGAGCCCTTTAATATCAACGCAGTGCGGAATGTGCTCATGATGTGCAATAATTAAATAATATATAAATAAATAAAAGAAAGTAAACCGTAGCCAGTCGGCCGCAAGTCACGCCGGCCCGTCCACGATGGAACGATGGAACGATGGAACGATGAAGCGGGACGCCGCGCGTTTGAAAGATCGCTGGGCCGCGAGCGAGCCCAGGGCTCGACAGTGACGTCACGCAGTGCCCGCTCCACTGCACCCAGGCAGTTTAATGGCACAAGGTGCATACCTCATGTAATGCAGCACAAGCCGTGCACGACGACGACGTGTGATGACGATCAGGAGACAAATTACCGCCGGAGGCACCGGGGCTCGTGAAACGTCGCCGTTGCTCCCCTCCTGAACCACACGCGGCGTGCAGCTGCTTTTGCCTTGGACTTGTGGTGGTGCGGACTCGGTTTGCGCTTTGCCCGAACGCCAAACTGTTCCAGTTGCTCGTACTTCACTTTCTTGCCGCTGGGTCCACGGCGCAGTTTCGCGGCCTTCGGCTTTGGTGATTGGCTTCGGCTTTGGTGAGTCATGGCTTCCTCTGAGAGCTGGGGACCACTCACAGTCACCCCGAGACCAGAGGGCTCAGCCACGCGGCACTCAGCAGTCACACGCAACAACCCCCAAGGACGGTGGATGGACGAGGTCAGCATGGTGCGTCGGTGCGGGGGAGGACGGAGGAGGGGGAGGGGGGGGGAGCTCAGTCGGGCCGAGCTGACCATCAGGCCGGTACTATCCTGCGTTGCTGCTGGAGTCACGTGCCTCCGCTCGTGCGCGCCCGTTCCAGCTGCTGGTGACCTCGGTCACGGTTCGGTGTGCACGCCAGCCGATGGCGCGGTCACGCCTGCCCGGACCTGCCTCCGAGGCGGGGGCTGCGGCTCGGTGACACGCGCGCCATGACGGGACCCGCCGCCTCGCCGGCTGAGTGCTGTCTCAAATGTCGGGATGGGCTTCAACTGACTCGGCAGTAATGGCAGGAGCGCTCCGCACCCCCAGAATCGCGCGTGCGTGATTGTGTGCCTGTTGTGCGCGCGGTTGGTGATACGTTCCACGGACCGGTCCGGCATCTCGGCAAGGTCTTACTTGGTGAAGCGGGCATGGTGAAAGGGAACGCCTCGTCTTTTTGCGTCGACCATTAAGATTAACGGATGCGGTTTGGCCGTCAAGAGGTCAGTGGGGGACAATCGCTGTCCAATCGCTGACTGAGTGTCCACACACAAACACTTCGCAGCTGGTGTTTCATAACTGCATGACGAAGAGCTTCAGTGATATTTTGAACGGAAGCATGCACTCATATGGCAGCCAGACTGTGACGCGTACCACATATTTTGCACCCGTATTTATTTGACAGCATATTAGATGTGACGTTTGATATCTGATGCCACATAGTCTCCGCTGGTTCCACATATTGGAGCCTGAAATGCACCATTCAACGCGTTTGCCGTTGTCTAACTCATCCTGACCTCGTGTAACTTCACTTGACCCCGCCTGCCATATCTGACCCCGTCGGGATTTCAGCATGTTCTATTCTATTTCACGTCGTTCGATCTTATCTGAGCATGTCTGACCCTACCTGACCGTTTCAGACGCAGTTGATTTCGATTTAACCGACCTATCGTGTCCGACCCATGTGTTTCACCAAACACTTTGGATCTCTTCTAAGCCCACATGAATTTGTTTGTCCCAGTTAGCACCGTCCGACCCCTCCTGACCCAGTCTGACCCAGTCCAATAGCACCTGACCCCGTCTGACCCAGCCCGATCCCCTGACCTCGTCTGACCCAGCCCGATACCGCCGGACCTCGTCTGGCCCAGCCCGACCCCACCTGACCCCGTCTGACCCAGCCCGATCCCACCTGACCTCGTCTGGCCCAGCCCGATACCGCCGGACCTCGTCTGACCCAGCCCGATACCGCCGGACCTCGTCTGGCCCAGCCCGATACCGCCTGACCTCGTCTGACCCAGCCCGATACCGCCTGACCTCGTCTGACCCAGCCCGATACCGCCGGACCTCGTCTGGCCCAGCCCGATCCCACCTGACCTCGTCTGACCCAGCCCGATACCGCCGGACCTCGTCTGGCCCAGCCCGACCCCACCTGACCCCGTCTGACCCAGCCCGACCCCACCTGACCCCGTCTGACCCAGCCCGATACCGCCTGACCTCGACTGCCCCAGCCCGACCCCACCTGACCCCGACTGACCCAGCCCGACCCCACCTGACCCGTCTGACCCAGCCCGACCCCACCTGACCCCGACTGACCCAGCCCGACCCCACCTGACCTCGTCTGACCCAGCCCGATACCGCCTGACCTCGACTGCCCCAGCCCGATACCGCCTGACCTCGACTGAGCCCACCCGACACCGTCTGGCACTGTCCGACCCCGCCTACACCCAGCCGACCATGTCCGATCCCGCCTAACATTCTGACCCCACTCGACCCTTATCACCCTGCCTGACCACATGTGACCCGTCGCTCGTCACAGGAACGCCCGAGGCTGCCGTCATGTACGCGCTGCAGAGCGGCGCCGCCACGCACGCCGTGTACGCCGCGTGCCGGAGCGGCCGCCTGGTCGGCTGCGAGTGCCGGCCCCTGCCGCGCGACACGAGGTCGGCCGACGTCTGGAAGTGGGCCGGGTGCCGCGCCGGCCTGCTGTTCAGCGGGCGGCGCGCGCGTCGCTTCCTCAACGCGCGCGAGACGGAGCACGACGCGCGCAGTCTGATGAATCGCCACAACAACAGGGTCGGCGTCAAGGTACGTGCGGGTCAGGTCGGGGCCCTGAGAAGGCAGGGATGGGGGTACGTGGTTCGGGGCTGGTGCGGGTGAACCAGGAGCGGTGGTCGCAGAGAGCGTCACAGGACCGGTGGCAAGGTGGGTGGTCGGCAGCGGATGTCTGCTCGATCTGATTCAGAATCAGAATCGACTGAAGAATCGAAGAAAATTCTGATGATTTAAGATCGTTACTCTTAATGACATAGTTCTCATTATATGCACCTGAGGCTGATGGCCAATGCATAGCTAGGGCATTGGTACCTGCCAACTTTCCGAATATATATGCAAATCGCCACACAAGCAAGTCACATTAAGCTAGTTACAAATAATTATTACACTGAGTTGAATTTAAGATTCATCGACTTAAGAATGCGTAAATGTGAAACTATTCTACTTATGCGTAAATTGGTGGAAATAAGTAGGGATATTATGTGCTTGGTGCACGCACCACCGCTTCCCCCTCCACCCATGCCATCCATAAAGTACCAAAAACTAGGGTAATCTGTGCTGTTCTGCAAGTGAGATTCTGCCAATAGGCTGATTTTTGGGCACCATTGTTAACAGAAATGGCACATTTGTTCACTTGACCTTCGCGTTGACTTTGAGTGATCTATCTGGGTCGTCATATCATTAATATCAATTCATTTTCTCATAACTCTCATTCTCATTGATTCATCCTCATTTGTTACTAATCGCTAATACCAATTGATTCTCATCCATTTTTCTTCATGTGTCGTGATGGCTTTACGACCTCGTCCCCATTCAATATTGGCGACGCAGCCCCTGTCTGCGGCTCATCCTAAACTGGTACGATTCGCAAGACGTTAGTAGATTTGTCCTGAAACGAAAATAGGTCTGGTCACAAGCCTCCCAACGGCTACCTAATCAAGTTGTTCGATTGTAAGTTTATGAAGTTGAACGGCCCATTGGTTTTGCTGCATGCTTAGCGACAAGACCTTGGTGCTGCTAGCAAGATTTACCGTTTGCCAAAGCCTTA